TGATGCAACATGAATGCTACTTCTTATTATCTACCTGGGAGATTTTTGGTTTGGTTTATCTGGTAAGGTCGCCTTACACTGCGCTCGCCCGAGCGAAATTGCTGACATAATAATCAATAAACCTAATTAATAAATGTCAATTATAGGAACCTCTAAATTTTTTAAAATATTTTTTCGCATTAATAATCTGAATCAATAAAGCAATAATAATGGAATGTAGCATATACTGACTGAAATCTGGTAACGTCTTCTGAATCGTGGGCTTAAACCTATCTGAAGCTAATTTAAACAACCGATGAAATATCCTTTTTTTTAAGATGTATTCTAAGTATTTTATACATCATAATCTTAATTTGATTGTACCGTTCTAGAATTGACTTGCATCACAGAAATATTTCTCTTACCTTTGTATATTAAATATTTTCTTCTGAAAATATCTGAAATATTAATATCTTTCGAGAGATCAAAGCTTATTAAAAGCAATACTTTTAAATATTAAAATAATGATTAATATTAAATATGAGAAAGATAATTAGCTATGCAAGCTTAAATATGCGTAGTTTGAAACGCTGTGCCGAGACTCCTGCAGCAGGTCCAACGATACCGCGCTACACGAAATACGATCAAAAATAATTAAAATAAATTCTTAATTTTACCAAACAAATCTTAAACATATCGCGCTTTTAAAGAAAAAATGTTCCTAAATAAAACTTCTCTCTTAAAGAATTGAGTTACTAATGCCATCGATCTTAAAATTACCTAAACAATACGATGAACCTAACTTTCACTTACTTATCTATCTTTAAATATTCCACTTTTAGGAGTAAATGGCACTAATTTGGCCATTACAAAACAAAATTAAATTTGTTTACCAACTGCAATAATTAGTGAGGTTGGAAGTTTAACGGAAAAGTGTGACTATTTGGATAAACACGGCTACAAGTCAAGCTAAAGGAATTTCGCTTATTCATTTTAATTGGTATAAGGTAACATTTTGTTTAGTCACAGTTTACCTTCTATCATATTATGTACTTCACAATATAATTTTATTGATAAAATGTTAAATTAAGTAAAGAGTAATCATTGGGTTAATCTCAGTAATTATTTACTTAAGGAGTAAATAAGTAATACAATAATGGGACATTTAGGTTGCCACTTTACGCAGGGCACACTTGCATTAGAATGTTGGTGGTTAAATATTACATTTTATTTATACTGTTTACTCTTAATTTTACTAGAGATATAAATTGACTATGACTTTTCTACCTATTGAAAAAATAATATTGTTGAATTTAAATAAATTCAACAATATTATTTTTTCAATAGGCAGAAAAGTCATGGCGTAATTTATAGTTATAATAGTTTTTTTACGCAAATAGTAAAACACCTGTTATAACTAAAAATTACACTGCAACTTAATTAAAAATAAAAGTAACTTTGCTTCAGATAATGTCATATTTACGGAATCCGTGAATGGAACGTATCGGTCTCGCTATGGAAACAGTAAAGATTCTTAAAAATCGAAGCCTCCAAAAATCTATCTATGGATGAGGTAAGTCATATCCCCGATGCAAATGACACATTTTCACTAAATCGACATCGCAACCATACTTAGAAAGTACAGGCTTATGTTCCTTGTTAGAAACTTGAACTTAGGAGTTCTTCACTGTATGGAAAGCACAATAGCTTTTTCAATCAGTTGGTCATGTAACAGTGAATGAGTGTAATATACATCCATTTAATGAGAGAATGATCACTATATGCGTGAGCAATTCTATTTTTCCGAAGTTAACTGCAGATCAAGAAATAAGTGCACCTGGTTCAATTAAAAGATAAAGATCTAATTCATCTAGTTGAGCTAGAATAATCAGAGGGTGAGGAATTTTCACCTGATAAAGCTGATCGTGATCTAGATTATGTATCGCCAACGCCCTAGGCGTGTATCATTCAATCCATATCCTCCATTGACCTATACGTTACTAGCGTAATATCCTTAAAGTCCTCAAATTTAATACAATGTATAACAAGTTCAAAATTTAAATAAGGAAGTCATGCAAGAAAATAATACGAACAAGCCGACCGACAATAATGTACCTTTTGCTGGATGTACCTTTGGATGTAATAATTTATCTAAAACACAAGAAGCTAAAAGGTTTTGCAACAGTGAACAATAATATACTTCCGTATACAAGATAAGAAAGAGTGTGCATAAGAAGCAGCTAGAACCTTCCTCTATTGGTAAAAAATATCGACTAAAGTGCAGCGCAAGAATTAAACCACATGAAAGACAAGTGATATTTAACGACTATTAAAAATGAAATACTTAACCACACAGAGAGATTTTAGTTTAAAGTGTATTTCTGTTATTCGACCCTCCAACCAACCAATTATTTTCGATTTGAAAGTATTGTAAAATCATTGCTATAATTTGTATTTAAATATTTTTATATTCAACATTATTTATACCTTGATTTTTAAACTAATTAATTATAATTAGTTTAAAAATCAAGGTCAAATTAAAAAGATATACAACTACAAGAAGTCAAGATACTATAAGTTCATACTGCGTAGATGGAAACAAATATTAATTATTTTAATCTGGAAGTAGCCGTGGTTAACAATTACGGATTAATTTACGGGATAAAATCCTTAAAAACTAGTTTTATTTAAATGTGTAGTATTCGCGTAAATATAAAAAATATTAGGATTGTTTATCCTACAACAAAATTTCCATTTCTCTATTAATCATACATTTTAATAAACTTGAAATTTAGAAGCACGTGAAAATAAAATACTACTCGCAAACAAGGCAACACACCGATTTATAATCAACGTATATTATAATGTAGAACTTTGTTCAGAATTTCAGATAAGAGATCCTGTTAACTTCTAACCGTAACTTCAAAAGGTAGAATTCTAATAAGCATGTTATAAATATTGCGTCTGTTTTTGAGATGTTAGTTAAATATCATTTAGTTCATATAAATATAGACACAGGTTAGAACACCAGCGCCTACGCATCTCGACTTTTACATTGTTACTTATTTGAATAATTATGCTTAGTATATTATATATAGTAGGCTAACATCAGACCACTACGTCTATTATTTGTACAAAAGCGAATGTTTTCTCTTCTGCTCTATAATTTATTTAAATTTAAGATTAGTGGTGAGAACTGCGATACTTTTGGAACAAAATGGGATTTCAAACTTACACAAAATCATGTTTCAATCAGTGCGCTATAAATATTTATTTTTTTATTCATTAAAAGTCCACTGCTAAACATAAAACTTCCCCATGGATTACTTCACAAGGAGATAATTTCCAAAGTTGCCGCACTTGGCAGGCGGGTTATCTGATGACATTAGTTATTATTTTAACCTTCATATAACGATGTGGCAACTCAGGAAATTGCCGTACGGTTTAATCTTCATAATACGTGAGCAACCTGAATTTCACTGCTAGGCTATATGAGGATCTAATATTTAAAAGAACGTTTAACAAGAGCTCAGCAACAGCAAACACTTAAGTCAGGTTAGTAGGTTTATTTTTAAATATATTGTTAAGATCTCAGGGTTCGTGACTATAAAAACTGCCAATTGAATTACCAAAATTGACAATTTAATTGCCGAACACCAATTTAAACTTAAAACACACCAATAATTAATCGCACTGATCACTTTAGTTCACTTTATTTCGCTCCGAAACTTCACTTGTATCGCCAATTCAATACTGCTCCGTTCGCAGCCGTAAGCGACCTTATATAGCCTTTTCCACTGAAACATCTAGAATATTTAAGCAAATGCCGGTCCCGACCGACTAGGTGTAGAAAGTTCGAGTGTGAAGTTTTCTAGAAAGTTTAGTTCTTCTATTCGACACTAGATGGCGCTGAAGGTGGAAGCTTCTAGCATGGCATTTTCTAGAAGGCTCTCGTCACTCTGCTGCCCAACACTAGATGGCGCTAGGGGCGTTAATTTTGGCTTGCAACAATATATTTTATCGCCCGTAAAAGTCTACTGCTGGGCATGAGGCTCTGTTATTGTATCATCAACATCATCATAGCAATAACGTTAGCCTCATCCATTGTTTACCTCATATAGGGGATATTTGTCATAGTTTCCACTCTTGGCAGGTTGGTTAACAACTGTTCTTCTTTTATTTTTTTGAGTTGTTATTATGAAGATCCTGCTGCCCATCTTTTATTTTTCAGCCCTGTTAGCTTTTTTTTTTCACCTACAGTATAATATTAGGAACGGATGCTCTTACGGTTCCACTTTACGACGATTCACCACTTACATATACCAAACCCAAAATAACAATTTCATTTAACTATTAGTTTGCTCTTTAATTTATTGGATGCCAGAGTTAGTCATAATCATATCAATTTTTCATGTTGTTAAGATTTGAGTGATACTGATCCTCAATTCCAATAGTACTGTAGAGGGCAAGCATCAACTAGAAGATTTGCCCACCCACCTCACTAGCCCACACAAAGTAGTGGGTTGGTGAATACAAATCTGATGCCTTTTTAACTGATGATGCTGCTCTGCAAAAAAATTTCTACCACCAGTAGGTCGTCAAACCCTCGTCAGTCAATCAGAAGTGCACGTTGACTTTTGTGAAATATTAACACTGCAGTATCAAAAAAGGAACTGATTTTATATGTCTTGATAACTTTTGATTAAGCCGTATTGAAATAGCTTTTTTTTAGCCGAACGAAACGCTTGAATGTTACACGCGATATTCTAATTCTAATAATAATAATAATAATAATAATAATAATAATAAGGCGTAGGGAATTGACGACCCCATCGCCCGCTGACGTAACAGTTAAGTGACAAAACTGCTACGTCAACGCAGTCAGTCAGCGCCTTGCGAGAGGTGTGAGCGCCGTGCCGCGGCAGAATTTAGGGTGCAGAGGCCCGTTTGTGCTTATGGCTACACACGAAACGGTGCCGGGCCTGGGCGTCTCCCGTTAATGGACGCCCAAATAATGGATGATGGATAAAAAGATAGTGCGCAAAGGGCCGCTGCCTGGGGGTCGCCGGGGCGCGTCTGGAGCTGGCGCTGGACGCGGCAGCATGCGGGCCGCCAGCCGAGCGCGAGGAGCTGCACGGTCATCTACCAGCCCTCCGCATCCATCATCCCCACCAGAAGGCTTGGTGTCGGCTGGGTCTTCTCGGACTGAGCAAGCGGCACCCGCCGCTGGTGGAGCACGTCGCATGCGTTGGTCACAAGAAATGAATGCAAACGCACTGCGGGCGTACTTTAGGGCAAAAGGGGAAGAAACTGGATGTTTGGCGTATCGGGCTAGGATGCATCGTCTTTTTGCTGAGCTGGAGCCATCTTTAATCGTCACAGAGCAAAACCTGGCAGACCGAGTTCGGTATATCTTGCGCTCAAATATATTTGATGTCGCCGAACTCGAACGGCTACGACGTGAGGCTGTTCCCTCGTCGGATGAGAATGCTACGGCTGAGGATGCGGCGCCACAAATGGTAGAGCAACCCGCAAACGTGGATGCCGCCGTGAATACCCCAGTTGTGGTTGATTCAAACGATGATGGAACAGTCGCCCAGGAACTGGAATTAGAGCATATGAGGAGTATATTGGAAGAGGCGATTGTGGAAACGCGCAGTACGCCTCTCGAAAATCGACCGCGACTTTCCCGCATAGCCCTAAGCAAGCGGAATCGGGCTGTCGTGAGGGCTCTGAACCCAATGCTGGTTACCTATTTGGAAGCCAGCCGGGACCTTTGCGAGACGGACTCAATTCTTTTTGGCGCCGCGCTGGCAGTCTGCCGTATCATAGGCGCCAAGGTTTCCACGGCTGGACGCGCTACTGGCCATAGTAGCGCTATCCCAGCATGGAGAAGAAGAATTGAGGAACGTATCGCAAAGGCTAGAGCTCTCATCGGCAGACTGATATGCTTCAGATCAGGCAACAACAGGCCAAGAATTGTGCGCACCGTCAGGATGGCGTTTGCTGGGACAAATGTCAGTTTGTCCCAGCCGGATATAACGCAAAAACTGACGGAGCCATAGATGATCTGAAGCAGAGAATCGCTGCTTGGGGAAAGCGGATTCGGCGATATACCGAGAGGTCGACACGGTTCAACCAGAATCGTCTCTTCCAGAGTGATCAGAAGAGGCTCTATGAATCATTGGAGCGACCAATGGTAAGTGGAACGGGTCCAGCACCGAATCAGGCCGACACTGTAGCATTCTGGCGCGGCCTGTGGTCAGAGCCCGTAAACCACAGCGAGGGCCCTTGGACGGAAGTTGTGGCGAGTCAGTGTGCGGGTATTACGCCCATGGACCCCGTCATCATAACGCCGGATGACGTAGCTGAGGCGGTTCGTAAGGCCCCGAACTGGAAAAGTCCGGGGCTTGACGGGCTGCATCACTACTGGCTGAAGGGGTTCATGGTGTGTCACTCTGTGCTCGCCCGACAGTTTCAAGAGGCTCTCAACCAGAAGTCGCTCCCAAGCCTCTTCACTACTGGGATCACTCATTTAGTTCCTAAAGACCAGGGTACCACAGACCCGAGCAAATACCGCCCCATCACGTGTCTACCGACCATATACAAGACACTAACATCCATTTTGAGCGCGAGAATCACTTGTCACCTGGACTCAAATCAGGTGATGTCGCGCGCTCAAAATGGATGTCGGGGCGGTGGTCGTGGAACCAAGGAACCACTCCTCATTGACGCGGTCATTGGCAAAGTGGTGAAACGCAACCGTCGGAACTTCTCCGCCGCCTGGATAGACTACAGAAAGGCATTCGACTCGGTGCCCCATACATGGCTAAAGAGAGTCCTCGAGCTGTACAAGATAGACTGTACAGTTAGAGACTTCCTCGAGCAGTGTATGGGGCAGTGGAGTACGATCCTTTGTCATCTAGGCGAGCGGATGATGGCTGCGGAGAACCACATAAGGATAAGAAGGGGTATCTTCCAGGGCGATTGTCTGAGTCCAATCTGGTTCTGCCTCTCTCTGAACCCTCTCAGTACCTTACTGGAGGGCTCCGGGAGGGGATTTCAGCTACGGAAAGGAGGGACAAAAGTGACCCACCTTTTCTATATGGATGACCTCAAGTTATTCGCCTCCAGTCGCTCCCATCTTATGGAATTGCTAAACATCACTTGTGAATTTAGCAATTCCATTGGAATGGAGCTGGGGACGGATAAGTGTGCGGTCCTCCATGTTGAAAGGGGAAGGGTTGCTAACTCTGAGGGCGTAGACTTATCTATGCCCGTCAACTTAAGGACCCTTTCCGAGGCTGAAACATACCGATACCTGGGTATGTCACAAAACATCGGTATCGATGAGACTGGTATGAAACAGTCAGTTTGCGACGTGTTTTATGCACGCTTGACCAAAGTGCTTAACAGCCTTTTTGTCCGGTGTGAATAAGACACAAGCATATAACGGCTGGGTCATGCCTGTCCTCATGTATACCTTTGGCATACTCAGGTGGACTCAGACTGAACTTAACGCCCTGGATAGAAAAGTCCGCACTACAATGACGTCCCATAGGATGCATCATCCGAGATCGTCGGTAATGAGGCTGTACTTGCCGCGGAAGCATGGTGGTCGTGGCTTCTTGAGCGCGCTCACCATGCATAATCGCGAAGTGTGCAGCCTCCGTGATTACTTCCTGGCGAGATCGGATGATCCATTCTATAAGGACGTCATTTCTTGTGATAAAGGACTTACCCCTCTATCCTTAGCCAACAAGCAATGGCAAGACCCGGCAGTGCAGAGCATTTCCGACCGGGAGACCGTATGGAAGGAGAAGGAGCTCCACGGGAGGTTCTACAAGGCTCTACATGAGCCTTTCGTAGACACAGTAGCCTCCCTCCACTGGCTACGCTTTGGTGATCTCTTCGGGGAAACCGAGGGGTTTTGTCTGTGCAATACAGGATCAGGTTATTAAGACCAACAACTATCGGAGATACATCCTAAAGGATGGCACCGTCGACATCTGTCGAGCTTGTCGCCATCCCGGTGAGTCACTTAGGCATGTTATCTCCGGTTGTTCGGCGCTTTCTAACTCTGAGTACTTGCACAGGCACAACCTAGTAGCCAGAATTCTACACCAGGAGCTCGCTCTGAAATACGGTCTCGTGGATCGGAAATTGCCGTATTACAAGTACTTGCCGGAAGCCGTGCTCGAAAATGATCGCGCCAGGCTCTATTGGGACCGGGCCATCATCACAGACAGGACTATTCTTGCGAATAAGCCTGATATTGTGCTGATGGACCGGGCACAGTCAAGGATATTTTTGGTCGACATTACCATTCCGTGTGACGAGAACCTCGTGAAAGCCGAAACAGATAAGCAAACAAAATATCTGGACCTGGCTCACGAGGTGACCGACATGTGGGGTGGTCTGCCGACCGAAATTATTCCTGTAGTCGTCTCTGCAAACGGGCTAATCCCAGTCAGCCTCTCGGGTCATCTGAGGCGGCTGGGACTACGTGGCGGACCGCTCCAGGCTCAAATGCAGAAGGCGGTGCTCCTCGATACCGCCCGCATCGTCCGCCGGTTTCTTTCCTTTCCCCCTAACCCTCGGCCGTTTGGTCTCCCCTGCCGAGGGCCTCCATCTGGTTGGGCTTTTATTTATTTATGTACTTTTATATTTATTTTATGTTATTGATATTTATGTGTATTTGTCTTTTCATTTTCATTTATAATTATATATTTATAGCACCCAACCAGATGAGAAAACTATATAGATACCCCATAATAATAATAATCATGGCTAGGCAATTTAGTTACATGCCGGGATATAACTAACGGCCTACTCAACCAATTAACTGACCGATTAATCTGCTGGGCCGCAACATATTAAATCTAAATCCTATATTAGTAAAAAGTCACGGGTATTTAGGATAAGTGAGATTTTTAATAGAATAAGGGTGAGAAACCAGCATAGAGTTTACCCGGTGGTAATGGATTCGTTTGAACGTAGACTCGTATATCCCTATTCAAAAATGAAAATGCAGATTAACATGCGAATATCAGGAGCATGACTCTGCTATTAAACTCTGATATTCTGTACATCTTTCTGATTACAGCTTTACAACAATAAAGCTCTGTATTATAGCCCCATGGCTATAATTACATATCAGATTTAAGATAGAAACAGTTAGTATATTATAATTAAAGTTATTGCAAGTGTTACACGTCCCTTTCGTTAACACCTTCGAACATTACATGGCGACCCTGCCAGGCAGTGCGCTGCTACAATGCAAGCGCACCGCCACGGCCTGCAAATTAATTTTAACTAGAAATTGATATTAATAATAATTAAAATTCACCGAACGTGAAAAGAAAAGCTGGAAAATACCAGAAGAGTTCACAGTAATAATTAAATATTATAGGAGTTGACTGAAAATTTAAAAAAACATATAATTATATCTGTAGTACTAAGATTATATTATTAAACTATGAAGATAATTAACCTATTAATTAGTATAAGATGAATGAGGAAAATAAAACGCGGATTTCAACATACGGAACATTAGATTTAAGAGGAACGAAGGAGTTGTACTCTCACGAGCTTTGCTTAGAAGAATATGAAAATTAAGCCAAAGAGAAATTAAGAGGATCCTCTGTGATTTTCAATTCTATTAAAACTTTAATTTGATAGATTTTTGATTTTTCAATATTTTTATCACTATTTCTAAAAATAGCAACCATAATTCAATATTAAAAATTAAGTTACATTTTAAGCACTTATGTGGCATTTGTATTAAAGCACAAGACAATTTTATATTCACTTTTATTCAGTTATTGTTTTACATTATTTTTATTACTGTGTCCTGAATAAAATGAAATAATATAAAAGAAACATTTTGCATACAAAAATTTACCATGTCAATAAATTTTTCATATTTTGTAGTTGTAATGGTGGCCACATACGGTTAGTTAAAGTCAAGCTTTCCCCATGGAGTAGATTCCGAGCTAGAGCTGTAATGTTGAAAGGCGTGAAATGAAAAGGAGACGAGTAGCTCTTCAAACACTTTGATTAATAAAGTAAAGTAAGTAAAGTTACAGCCTATATACGTCCCACTGCTGAGCACAGGTCTCCGCTCATTTCTGAGAGGGTTAGGGCAAGGAATTGTCCGCCGCGCTACCCCAATGCGTGCAGGCGAACTTCACATGTCTTCGAAATATTTTTTTCTTATTTCTCTGACATGCAGGTTTCCTCACGATGTTTTCCTTCAACGCCGAGCACGTGGTAAATCAGCACTTAAAATTGCAATTAACAATTTCATTGGTGAACCGAACCTGGTTTGCTCGCGTACTGTGAAATTTACAGTGAGCGCTAACCATCTGAGCTACCACGGCATACATACACACATACATACACACGCACACACTCACACGCACACACGCAAAACCCCCCCCATCACAACACACACACACATACTATTTCCACACACATTAACACACACGACACACACACACACACACACACACACACACACACACACACACACAAAGGCGCGCACGCGCAAACTCGCATGCATACACATAAAACAGTAAATTACAATATCATCGATCAATTGCCAAATAATTCAAGTGTTACTTTGCGGAAATTTATTACATCAAAATTAGATCCGCGCAAAATCGAATCAGTAATCGATCTTAGCGGGCTATCTCACCCGAAGACATCTCGTTTAGATGCGAAACAGGATACGAATTATCAACATTGGTTGTTTCTGGTTTCAGAAAAATAAATTTGTTTAAGAATACGAAAGTAAAATCACTCGACATTCCTCCAAGTAATTTTAGTAACTAAAACAACGTCGAATGGCATAAAAGTATTCATTATCTGCATTTAAAATTCCATTTGAAGTACATACTTGATAAAACAACGCTTTATGTTTCAAAGAACAAAGTAAAGACGTACTAACCTGAATTCGATTGTTTACTTTGTATGTTTCTCTTGTTTTATTACAAACGAAATCATACAACACTTTTGTTTGTGAATTTGTATGAGAATAGATTAACATTATAAGGCGAAAATT